CCCCCCCCACCCGCCGTGCACAAATTTCGGGCACTGGGCCTCTAGTTACTAAATAAATAAATAAATAAATAAATAAATAAATAAATAAAATCAGTACTATGGTGTGAATGTTTGTGCCCCCAAATTCATATGTTGAAGCCCTAAACCCCAATGTGATAGTATTTGGAGGTGGTTAGGGTTAGGTGAGGTCATGAGGGTGGAGTCCCCATGGTGGGAATGATGCCCTTATAAAAACAGGAAGAGACTCAGTCTCGCTCTCTCTCCAAGGAGAGGCCATGTGAGGACATAACCAGGAAGAGGCAGGCCCTCACCAACATCCCAGCTCCACTGGCACCCTGATCTTGAACTTCTACCTCCCAGAACTGTGAGAAATAAATGTCTGTTTTTCAAGCCACCCAGTCTGCGGTGTTTGTGACAGCAGCCTGAGCTGACTTAATCAAGGTTGTAACTGCTCTGTAAACAAATATAGCAGGAAGGGAGAAGGGAGCCCAGGGTGGGCATGGGGAGGAACTCTGAGGGCCGTCACCCTGCAGGGATGACACTGGAATGAAGTCCTGAAGGAGGTTCAGGAGGAGTCGTGCAGATACCTCAGGGAAGAGAGAAACAGCATGTGCAAAGGTCCTGTGGTGGGACCTGCAGAGTTTAAGGAGGCAGGTGTGCCTGAAGGGGGAGCAGAGGGGAAGTCAGGGAGGTGACTTTCCTTTTGCGTCTCCTTTGCATCCCACACCCTCACCCTAATCCTCTCTGCCTTTCTTAGCGGCTGAGGACAGTGCGCTGGGCTGGCCACCCTCTCTGAGGGTCACAGGCCATCACACTGTCATCTCCCGTCGGGTGGAGGCTGGCGGCGCTGAGCCCTGACTGCACCTTCGGTGCCACATTAGGAGCTTAACACGGATGAGCTCAGCCCCCCTTCTAACACTCCTCTCGTTAGATGCCTTGAAACTTTTACAGCTTCATTAGCTGTAATTGGCGCATAGCAAACCACACCGGTTTAAAGTGCAGCTCGGTGAGTGTTCACTCCCGGAAACCGCCTCCACCTTCCAGACAGTCAGCACTTCCCGACCCTAAAAAGGATCCTCCCGCCCTTTTTGGGTTCCTCCCTCTCCCTCCCCACCCCGCCCGGGCAGCCGCTGAGGGTGTCAGGAGGCTGCACTTTCTAGGGATTGAGTTTGATCTAAACGGGACCGGAGAGTATTCTCTTCTTTTTCGTCTGGCTTCTCTCCGGGAGCAAAATTATTATGAATATTCGTTTATGTTGTGACGTGTCTTTGAGCCCCCGTTTGCTTATGGGGAAACTGAGGCACACGGAGGGTGAATGAGAGGTG